GTATGTTTGCAACTTCTGTATCTTATCTAGCATGGTCGTATTCCTGCAATGTCACTAACAAAACATATATACTTGTTTGGAATTGCATTCAGGGTTCTTCCAGTCTAATGGAGGAGGACCCACCTTTGTCTAGTATCAAATAAATGTGTTATTTAGAGAGAGGATCTAGACCAGTGGTGGCGAACCTATGGCACAGATGCCAGAGGCGGCACTTGGAGCTCTCTCTGTGGGCACACACACTGTTGCTCCAGCCCCGCCTCCTCCCATGGCCCCCTCCTCCCCAGCAGCCCCCCTGGAGGAGAGTTGCCCCCGGGTGCAGCCCATATGAAGCAGTGGAGCCAAGGACATGGTAGCCGGGCAGTGGGGACAAGACTCCGCCCTTGCACCCCATCGCACGCAGATGATGCTGTGGGGAATGGGCGGAGGGCGTGGCCACCATGGTGCTGCTGGGCTGCCTGGGTGATCTGTGGCGGGCCGTGGAGATGGGTGGTCCAGCGGGCAGGGCAAAGCGGGGACGGGGGGGCGGTTTTGGGGCACTCGGTCTCTAAAAGTTTCGTTATCACTGATCTAGACTCTGTCTCTTCGTTCGCGCTGAGCCACACCTAGTTACCTGCTTGATAGCATCACATGACTGGACCTGATTTTTTTTGACATTTTTGCAGCAGTTGTTAAGCAAGCACTACAGTTGTAAAGCAAACACCATGGTTAAGTGAATTCATTTTCCCCATGGGCATTTTTTTGCTGGAAACTGGAATTAAATGCCAGAAACTGGCAAAGAATGTCACAAATCACAGTCAGATAACCACAAGATGCCACAAACAACCACAAGGTGAGCTGAATGCCCAAAATGCAGTCATGTGACTGTGTGTATGTGTGTGTGTGTGTGTGTGTGTGTTTGTGTGCAGCTATCGTAACTTCAAAACCAGGTCATAACTAGTTTTTTGGGAGGGTGGGGGGTATCTGTTATAACTTTGACTAGTTGGTAAGTGACGAATACAGTAACTGTGTTTGTAAAAAATCAAAGCAAGAACAAGGAAAAACAGTGCAATTAATTCTTGCCTGTCAATAGCTTCATCTAGACACTTAAAAATAGTTATTGTGTCCCAGGTTTTATACACTATATATAATTACTTTCACTTATACTGTATTATAGTGGGGAGTTAAGAAATTGAAAGGGAACAGAGGAAGAAGGCTTTTTTTAAAAAAGACTTTTTGGCTTTGAGGTTCATAGAATTTTATAGCTGGAAGTTTGGGGATCATCTGGTCCTCCAACTTTGTGTCCTCCAGATGTGTTGTATTATATAGTAGCTCCTGGATGTTCCAGGCAGTATGGCAAAAAACTATGCTGGTCTGAAGTCCTGTGAGTTTTAATCTTAGCACATCTGGAGTCCATTTGGATTGGGAAAAGGCTATTTTAGGCCAAATATAGCACCGCGTAGAATCTACAACATAGGTTGTAAAAACACTTTCCTGACAGATGGGCATTCAACCACCATTTAACTAGTTCTAATGAAGGAGAACCTAACATTTTCTGATTTGTTCCACCATCCTCTGGCTCTTAATATGAGATCAATTCTTCTGACATATGACAAAAACCCATTTCCTGCAGTTTCTACCCGTTGGCTCATTTTCTTGTAATCAATATTTGTACATGCATAGTGTAAAAACAGTTGGCTTCTTGGACTGCTGCCTGTTGATGCTTAATCTTTTAAAGGGTCCCCTTATACTATCCAGTTATGACATGTGATAAAACAGACCATCATTGAGTCTCTGATTTAAACAAAGAGTGACCAGGATCTTGTTTGGTAAGGTAAAGAACCTACATGAAGATGAGGATAAATTCTTTCTACAATAATACATGAGGCTATTCCTGTCTTCTATCCTTTGCAAAGAAGAAATCTGTAATTTGTATTCTTTTCACTCTCTTCCCACATTTTAAGAGATGGTTAACCTTAAGTGTAATTCTGTTGGAAGAATAGTCATTAAACGCATAAAGAATAAACACATTAATGACCATCTGTTCTAGTCCCATCTATTTATCTCCTGACCCAACCTCCTTTTCGGATTGAGCCCAACATATTCCTCAAAGCCAAGTGTGGTTTTTATTCCCCTTAAAGCTTGCACATCCTTGGCATAAAATACGTCAGCATGTTCTAGAGTGGGGTGGGGGAAAGAGGAAAGATCATTTCAGTGTTGCATTTTAAGTACAGTTCTTAGTTGTAAACTTTCATTCTGGATGTGCATTTGGTGCCCAGATGGTAAAGGCACAGAACAGAGCCCACCATGCTGTCAGGGCAGACGGGCGCCTATGTAAATATTGTGCTTTCCCCCCTATAATATTTGCCTTTCTCTAATCTAATTGCTGTCAAAGGCAGAATGTTAGGAGCATGCAAGGAAAGCAAACAATGAACACCTCTGGTAACTTGGGAAGTTGTGAACCCGCCTATGTTGTTAGTAACTAGTAATTTAGTTGCACAATGCTTGACTCATCCTCCGATATTTCTGGTGCATTCATGCCAAGTGCTGTTTTAGGACCTAACAGTTCTCTAAAAATTGTTGGATAAAGAGAAATGGTGAAAAATAAAATCATGATGAATCAAATATCATATGCCAAGATCACTTACAGAATCATGTTCAGAAAATTCAGGTGATGTACCTTGCTACCAGCATACATTCATCAAATTTTGATTTTAATAGATTAAATTTTGATTTTAATAGATTCTTTAATTTTAAAAGGAAAACCAGCATGTGTTCAAACAAAGCATGAGTGTCTCCACCAAATTACTGAAATTAAGTTTAAGTTTAAATTATTGTTATATTTACTGTGGATGTTTTAATTCTGCATTTCCCATTGAACTGTGGATGGATGTTTTAAATGTTAGTTTGTAAACCACTGAAACTCTTGGCACTGAGCTGTATTCAAGTGCAATAAACAAGTAAATAAAAACATTTTGCCCCCCAAAATGCCCTAAATCTCATATTGTCCTCATGGATATTGTTATCTAGGAAATAAAAATGATGGGTGACTATAATCCAGTGTTTTGTTTGAAAGTGTGCCCAGTTATTAGCTATTATATCTGTGTTGCAAAATTACAAAGGATCACAAAAGAGCAGCAAAGTGATACAGAAATACTCTTTGCTGAGTAGCTAGTGGCTATCAGGATTTCTACAGTCCAAATACGGTAGATCTATCAATTGTACTAGAGAGAGAAATGGAGAAAGTGAGTCAATTGGGATAATAAAAAGTATCTTGAATATGAGGTTGGGTTGGGGCTTAGGATGATTTGCTTTCTTGTTAAGGGATATTTCTTAGGTTATATCTGGGCTGCAGATGATCACTAGATCTTTACCTCTTTGTTGCCAGATAGTTAAATCATCAATGGTTTTATAGCCTAGCTGTGGTGCTAATATTTCATGATGTGCAATGCCTGCTGTGGCAAAGATTTTGTGAAAACACTACCCTGCCCCATGTAACAGCCGTGGGAAGGATCTCATTGTCAGTTTCAAAATTTGAGATTGTAGCTATGGACCCTTGAGTTCTGCAATGATAATTTGCTTCTATTCTACACTTGGTAAGATTGAAAGTATAATACTATATTCAGTTGTGGGTCTTTTAGAGAGATCACTGGCAATCTAGAGTATATTTAGAGAAAAACAACAACAATGAGGTCTGGTAACCAAATCTCAAATCCCAGGAGGAAATCTAGAAGTATGTTTACCTTGGGCAGAAGAAGATTAAGGAGAAATAGCAGTTGAAAAGATTTCTACTCCAGAGACAAGGACTAAAATTCCAGGAGTGAAAATTGGACGGAAGCAATCTATTGCTAAAAGGGCAGTTGGGGAATCATTAGCAAAAACTACAGTTTCTCAGTCTCAGTCCTGTCTGTGCAACATGAGGAAATAATGAAAATCTATTTAGGGATGTAATCCGATTAGGTAGCATTTATTTATTAATCATAAGAATGATTTTGATTTGTATATGAATGGGTCTAGGAATTTACTTTTTATTTACTTAAGGATTCACTTCCTTTGCCTGTGGTTAAAAATTATATTACTAAGGCAAGAAGCTACATTTTCATGATTTCTCTTATTTTGCCTCACAGTATGGCTGTATCTGCCAAGCCTTATTCTATCTTTCTATTTTGTTCTGTCCTATCCTGTCCTGTCCTGTCCTGTCCTGTCCTATCCTGTCCTTTCATTGGCATCAGGACCTTTGTGTGTCTTCTGTAGTTTGAGGACCACCAGCACTGTTTAATAGATATATTTGCTAATACTAATGGTGGATAGAAATTTCTCCATCAAAGGGGAAATTGGGTGGATGATGTCTCCACATTTCTCTAAGGGAAGGATAAATTCACAGAACTTTGTCAAAGATATGATGATGATGTTATCCATTCAGTCATGTCCAACTCTTGGCAATTCTATGGGTCAAGTTTCTCCACCTCTTCCAATCTTACACTACGTTTTTGTATGTTCTGGCTGGTGTCAACTTTGATGGTGTCCAGGTCAAGGGTGTATTCCTTCTTAATGGTGATGGCAGTATTGCCAATGAAAGAGCCCAATGGGAAAAATTCCCTTATAATGAATTACTTGAGGAATGATTTTGTATGGAGGTTCTAGCAGTATACCTTTCCCTGAAGAACAGTATATCTTTCTAACTGTGATAGCCATCCTCGTCCCCTGAGCTGCAGCTTTGGGAGGGACATACATAAAGCAGTAAGAAAGGAAGAGGGCACCCATCTCCCCAGCCAAATTAACTGAATCAACTCTGGCAATCAATGGAGACAACTTGGGGATTTAATGAAAATATGAGGCTGTAAAAGATTTGTGTAGCGAAAGACAAAATATTCAAATAGATCTCTTGCCCATTTTGTATCCAAGTAAACTGTTTGCAATATCCTTAATGATGCTTCATACTGATCTGATGTAACACTTCATTTAACAAAATAGAATTATTGTGGCATCAATCATGTTATGTTTTCCATATCTTGTTTTTGCAGGAGCCATTGACCAATGTTCATACATCAAGTACCACTACTCCTCAGCAACCATTCCCAAGAATCTAACCTACAACATTACTAAGACCATCCGTCAAGATGAATGGCATGCTTTACGTAAGTCTCTCACCTCTTTCCTTCTCCTCCCAGTATGGAATATTGATTTCAAATTGTGCAGGTTGGAAAAATATGGAAAAACCCACATTTCCTTTCACTTCTGAACAACTCTGCTGATTTTGTGCCTGTGCTAGAAACATTGCAACCAAGTATAATGATATGTTCAGTCCTGTTGAGTTATAAGTGTCATGTTGCACGATGACACGCATACTTTTGGTTCTGTCATTTTTTTTAGCATTTTCACTGTTTTGTATTTGTGATGGTATGGTAAATTTTACAACCAAATTCCTCTTGGTGCATGAGAGGGAACCTTCAGAGTTAGCTATGCAACCTTCAATTTGCTGAAGTTGCCATGGGCAGATCCACTTTTAGCATGGAGACATGATCTTCCAGATAGTCTGATCTGTATATAGATTACATGAGACTGGTCTTTTGATGTCTTGTTGCATGGCAGAAATTGTAGAGTTGTGTGGATTGAAGAAATAGTTTCATCTTTCTTCCCTTTTTCTTTTTCTGATACATACTGGTGAAGGGTTTGGCTATGATTGCTCTTGTCTAGGCAGGTTTATAATTGACCTCAAGAGTCAGAACATCACCCTGATTTCTCTAGCTTGTGCTCATGAAGTCCTTCCTTCTTTCATCTGAAACTTTGCCCCACACTCAATCCAACTTTTCCCTTCTTTTTGCCGTGGGCAGTGCACAGAAGACTACCAGGACTCTGGCTGATCTTCACTATAGCCAGTGGACTGAACAGTCTCTGAAGCAACCATAATTGATAGGGAAACAGTTGCCTTGAGGCAGATGGCTGACACTGGACTTGTGGGAAAACGTGGGTGGGGAAAAGAGGAAAGGAAAATGGATATTCAGAGGCAAGATACCCATTTGCTCATGTCCCTGTGGTGGCAAAGCTGTAATAGTTCTTTCTCATTTCTGTGCATAATAGTGGATTTCTTGGGTCTTTAAGCAGAAACTTTTAAAAGAGAGTTACTGATATGGTTTCTTAATTAAATTTGAATGATGTCAAGGAACACCAAATGACTTTGGATAAGCAGAAAGTCATGGGGAAAGATAAACATACAAAAACTGGAGGAACTGTTTACAGCAGCTTTCCTCAAGCTGGATAACCTCCAAGTGTGTGGAATTTAGCTGCCAAAATTTTCAGCTGGCTGGGGAATCTTGGGAGTTGACTTCCAGACATAGTGAAGGTACTCAGACTAGAGAAAATTGGCCTACAATTGGTTGAGAAAATGAATATAACATCTGCTGATCTTTTTTAAAGGAAGAGAATAAAACATAGGGATGGTTTTCATATGAAACACCTTAATTGGGAAATTGGGTATAAACAGGGGCTCCAAATATATTTTGGGGAAATTCATGCTGAAAGATCTCAAAGTCTACTTTTACTGCTTAGCTAATATTATTCCACTATTATGCTCCCCATTCTAAGCAGAGGTCTGGCTCAAGTTTGGGATAATTTGGGGTTGCAGGAAATTAGTCCTCCTGCCCTTATTTGCCTCAGATTAAGTAGGGGACCAAGTTGTATAAGACTGAGTTACATGTTTTATAAACCATCTGTGGTCTCTCTTGCATAAAACAAACAGTGACTTTTCATAAAGCTTACTGTAGACTGAATTACTCTTTTGTAGATTCGCTTCAAGATGGAAATAGTTCTCTCAGATTGCATCTTGCATCCATTTTGTAGCTTGTTCTTTTCTCCAATAAATAATTAATAACACACTTGAGTTCTTTTCCTTTTGTAGGTGCTATGGATGCTATATACACCTATTCCAAATGTCTGTGTTATATTAACATAGAGTATTTCTGTTCATCCTTAGAGAAAGATGGATCACGAATAGGGATGATTCTTTTAATTTAAATTCCATTTTAGGTGAGTTTATGAATATCATACTCAATAGCTGCATTCTCATGACCCAGTCATACTGGTCTATGATGAATGGGCAGTTATATGGCAGCCATTTTTTTAGCCCTTCCATTCACTGTAAAGGGGGCTGGAAGGCTCTGGGCTTTTCCCCCTCTGTGGGGATCTTAGAACCCTTTTCCTTTTGCCCCCCCCTCCCCCAATGTGGCTGCAGGGTGAAAATTCCTCTAGCTGACAATCCTAGAGAGATCCTGTTTTCATCTGGATTCTAGGCCTATTTCTCATTCTTGGGAATGAAGAGGATCTTCAAACTCCCAAGTAAATCCTTGGTTTACACAATATGCAGGAGTTAATAACCCAAAGGGAGTTAATTTAGTCCCATACTACACATAACTATTGGGAGCTAAAGTTGTCTCTCATGGACTAGAGGTTTTTTATGGGATTGGAGAGTTACAAAACACACTTACTCCTTCCTCTCTGTGACCTAGGAAAGCATATGGAAACAGGACCAATTTCTCCTTAAAAAAAAAAAAAAAAAGGTGTTCTTTCCTAGTCATGTTCTTCAATCATCATAAGAAGATTCACCCTTTTCCCTTCATTTGTTAAAATGAAGGGTTGTATTGGTCCAGACAGGTGAGTACTCCATACCAAATATTTGTTGACATCCATGTGAAGCTGCACTCATGGAGCTTGAAGTTCTAATCCATCCCTTTGCCAAGGGCAGGAAGCCTCATACCATCCCATGTATGCATGAAGGCTTCCCATGATGTGTAGATTTATGTGCACATATTACTATACCTCTAGGGTAAAGAGAATGAGATTATTTTCATCTGTGTCAGTTTGCTCTATGTTCATTTATAATTCCCTTCCATCCCTTTTCCACACGAATCTATGCCTTCTTTATTTTAACGCACATTAAATTAAAGAATAATGCACAATTTGCCCTAGATAACACATTTCAGTGCATTTTATCCAAAGAAACAAAACATCCTTGTGTGCAAGTTTATGCAAACATCGTATATAACTTGAGCCAAGATCTGAGTCACAACATTTGGAGAGATGTTAAAATGAAAGGTTAATTATGTTCCTACCCATGTATTAGTCTACTCTTGGAAGTGCAAATTATACTGGTTTGCTTGAAAAATGCTTGCTGGCTGAAATTCTAGACTATCCTTAGTCTAGACCAGGGGTAGTCAACCTTGGCTCTTTTATGACTCGTGGACTTCAACTCCCAGAATTCCTGAGCCAGCACAGCTGGCTCAGGAATTCTGGGAGTTGAAGTCCCCGAGTCATAAAAGAGCTAAGGTTGACTACCCCTGGTCTAGACTCTAGGGCCATTCCTAATTCCATATGCCAAATTCACGGCAGAAGAACATGAGTGAAATGGTATATCCCTACCATTCAACACACATGAAAACATGGTATTAATTCAGTAGTGGTCAAAGGAGATGAATGAGGAATGTCTTACATTACTCTGGATTTCTTATATTACTCTAAATTCTATTACAGGAAATTCTCAACTTACAACCATTCATTTAGTGATCATTTGGCAGTACAGCAGCAGTGAAAAAAATGACTTATGACTGTTTTTCACACTTACAGCCGTTGTAGCATCCTCATGATCACATGATCAAAATTTGGGTGCTTGGCAGCTGAGAAGCAGGCAGTCCCAGGATCATGTGATCACCCTTTGTAACCTTCCCAGCTGGCTTCCAACAGGCAAAGTAAATGGGAGAAGCCAAACTTGCTTAATGACTGCATGATTCACTTAACTGCAGTGATTTGCTTAACAACTGTGGCAGAAACGATTGTAAAAGCAAACAAAACTCACTTAACAACTGCTTTGCTTAGCAGTGGAAATTTTGGGCAGAATGGTGGTTGTAACTCGAGGGCCACCTGCATGTGAAGTGTATTGTGACAGAAAAGTCATGAGTTTTGCTGCCAGTGTAAGAAAAAGGCAAAAGACAAATATAAATTAATTTGGGAGCGTATGTTCCTTGGGTTAATAGTTGACTAAAAGGATAATTGTTAAGCATAGAAATGAGTTAATTGTATATAAGTGATAATGTAAATAAAACATTTAATGAGATTATGCATAATTGCAAATGTAACTTCAATTGATATTTTGCATTGCAAATAGAGTTCCTCACCAAACAGTTCACAAATAGGCTTGATGCACATCATTGATTTACTGTTTGCATTTCATTTGTTCCGGATTCTTTCAGCTAGACCACCTTGAAAATAAGCAAAGTTAAAATGCATCTAAAACTTTAGATATGCAAAAGCTGAAACAGTCCCTGCTTTCTAACATTTTGATAAATTGAAAAATTGTGATAAAGTAACTTTTCCCCTTCCCGGTAATTTAAAGTGTCATTTTTTTTCTTAGTGCCTGGATGTTTTTCCCCCTCTTGCTGAAGATTCTATGTTATCCTGTTTTGCTAGTGTATTACCTAATCCTACACATCAGAGTTCCCCAACTGGGTTGGCAGCCCGGAGCAGGGGGGGAGGGGGAAAAGAAGGGATGGTTTTGTGGGGCGGGCAAACGCATGCATGCGTGCGGGTGCATGTACACCCATTGCTTGTGTGTGTGTGTGGCCGTGAGTGCTTGCATGTGTGGGGGCATGAGCTCCCGTGACACTTGTGGCAGCACTTGTGTGATTGGGGCCGCAGACGCTGCAATTCAGATACTGGGCTATGGCCCACAGGTTGGGGATCCCTGCTATACATGTTTATTAAATTCTAAATTCCATTGAACTGTGTAAGGTTTGTTCCCAAGTAGATGTGGTTAGAAATGCAAGCATGAATTGTGGCCTTGAACAAATTCTTGGTGTTCAGTAGACGTTATTCCCTTGTGAGCATACTATCCTAGGTTTAAACATATTTGGGATTTTGCTTCAATATTTCTTTATTTTGTTTTAGTAATGAAAAATATTGTTCGCTTTATCTATCAGTATAAGCATATTTATAAATCTGGACATGCAGGCATTGTTGGAGTTTCAGTAGAATTGCTGATATTATTGTGCTATTAATTATTTTTGCTTTCATTACAGGGCATTATGAGCAACTGATTGTAAAGAATTGAGTAAATTGTTAGCAGCATATTTGGCTAGGTGCATGTTTG